CTTCAATGTGTATGAAATCCCCTTCAATGTGTTTTGTACATTCGTGAAATATGGGATTTGCAGCGATATGAAGAGCATACTTACTATCACAAATAAGCTTCATCGGAGCTGTGTGAAAAATACCGATAAAGAAAAATAATTTCATTTAGTAATCATTTTTCCTTTTGAATGCCTTTCATAAACTGAAATTTCGATATTGGAGAACACTGGAAACTTTCGTAACTTGCATCGTCGATTGCTCTGAAATCGATTTCGTAAATCACCTCCAAAATAAAGGTGCTCTAAAATAGAAGTAGGCATTTGAGATGCTCTAAGTCTTTTGATTTAAAACAAAGGATTTGATTCAATCTTTAGTGATTTTTATTTCCAATTTCAATGTCGAAAGATGAATAATTCACATTTCCCATGGTTGTTTTGGATTTGGATCTGTTCATTTCTCGTCATGCTATTGAATCACTAATGTTAGAAAATAAAATTTATGGAAATTAGTCTTGTTTTACATAAAATCTTGACTTAGCAGTGGAATTGAGTTCCTTTATAGAGAAATAACATACAAATGAAAGTATGAAACAATTTTGATGTTATGGCTTTCTCTACGTTTTGTCCACGGGCAGTTTTTGATGCTTTAGCTGTTTTGTGAGACTTAGTAAAGGTTTTCCATTTACATATAAATTGGACTTTTCCTCTATATGGTTCAGTGTTGTTCTGTGCTTATGTTAACATTTGAATCTTGCACGGTCAACAATATGCATATGTTGTACCTTCTCCTCGAAGTCTTTATTTTTTCAGACTGCTATAAGATTAGCATGCTAGATGATATATCATGGATTTGACCCTTTTTTCTAAAATATTTATGTGTATGTAGAACTTTTCTAAGATATTTATGTTCATGTAGAACTACTTGTTTAATTAATTGAAGATTTGATATTGGTCAACTGTTTCTTTAAAGTTTATAGTTAATTATAATATTTCTTTTTATTAAACAAAATGACCATAAATAACAAAATAAATAATAAACGGACAATGAACATAGCGTCAGTTATATAATCAACGTGAATAATTTTTCAACAACCGACGTTATTATTTGGACGTTAAACATAATGTTGGTTCTGAAAAAAATAAAAAAATATATATAAATAAATATTTTTTGTATGCCTTACATTATATTTATATATATAAATAAATATATCAAACAAAAAGAACATAATAAAACTAGAAAATTTTAAGCATAAATACAATAAAATTAAAAGAATTTTATATTTCTATCCATACTAATGTATAATGCTATCTAGTTGATGCAAAAAAATAAGTATAATAATATGTTGTTTTGTTAAATAAATACCTAAGAAAGAGAAATACAATGAGGATATAATAAATTTCATTAAAATGGAAAAGTATAAAGTAATAAGTTATTATCTGCATATTAAAAAGAAGTGAATATGATCAGATTAAATATTATAGAAAGAATAAATATTATAAAAAATATACATATATCTCATATGTAAAAATCAATGCTCGTGAGTCAACCACATTATATTAGGTCATTTAAGTTTTATGGAAAAAGATCTTACATATATATAAAATATTTGGTTATTATTTTGTATAATGCTATCTAGTTGATGTAAAAAAAAAAAGGTATAATAATGTGTAGTTTTGTTAAAGAAATTCCTAAGAAAGGGAAATACAATGGGGATATAATAAATTTCATTAAAAAGGAAAAGTGAAGAGTTAAAAAGTTATTATCTCCAAATTAAAAAGAAGTGGATATGATCTAATTAAATATTATGAAAGTAATAAATATAATTAAAAAACTATATATATATATATATAATATATAAAAATCAATGCTGGTGAGTCAACCACATTATAATATTAGGTCATTTAAATTTTATGGAAAAGATCTTTTAAAAAAGATTTAGTTATTATTTTACCAATACTTCACTCATAAGTCATCCCTACATATATATATATATATATATGTGTGTTTAATCATATACACTCAGTTACCACCATTACCCATCACCTCTCTAGCAAGTGCACATATATTCTTCATTTACCTTATCTATCAAATAAGAAATGACTTCTAGTGAACTAAAAAGTGAGGATGTTTTAGCGACGCTTAATCAAACAAGAAAAAATATAGAGGAACTCGCAGAAGGTATTAAGAAATATAGTGATGATAAGTTGGCGATGCTTGCTGGAATAGAAATAGAGATTAACCAGATAGAGAAGACTTGGAAGGAAGCTAACAAATATTATCTCTATTTGGAGAAGGAAAAAGAAGAAGATGATACTTTAGTGAGTGAAGAATTAAGGTGTAGATTAGATGTTCTTACAAAATCAATTAATGATATATATGACTTGTCTGAACTGTTGTTGGAAAAAAGTAAGACAACTATCTCTTCCGCTGAAAATAAGAGTGAAGAAAAATAATTTAATTATATATGTATGCATGCTAGATATTATGAATCAACATAATAACAATTACAATAACGATGATTATATATGTATGCATGCTAGATATTATTAAGTGTTACAATCAAGCATACAATTAAATAATATATCCCCTTAAATGTGTATGAAATCCCCTTCAGTGTGTTTTGTACTTTCGTGAAATACTGATTTGCAACGATATTGTGGAAGTCGAAACTTGCACAATCGAAATTTGTCTTAGGATTTCTTTTAGGGATACGATAAGCCGGAATTCTCAAAGAACAACAGAAAAACTTGTAACCAAAGATGGTGTTCTTGATATTATTGATGAAAAGATTAGATTTCGATCGTACAAAGGACTAGATCGTTAAAAAGAAAAGTGTTTGTTTTTGCGGTGATTGCCTTGGAGTATCAGAGCTTTTAGTAGTCTTGAGTCTAGAGCGTTTTTCCTTGTCCCCCTTTGTGAAGACCTTGAGTCGCTTTATATAGGAATAGTAAACCGCCTCTTCAGCGATATTCTCGGAAGATTTCAATTTTCTTCGGAGTCGGCCTAGAATATCGCGGATAAGGATACTTTCCTTATTCTTCGGAGGTTTTTGGAAGATTTCCTGATTTGACTTGATCCATCGAGATTCTCTCATATCATTTCCGAATATTCCGGAAATGATCCAACGTTTTCGAAAATGGTTCCCTCTGTTCGGAAATGATATCTTCCTTGGTAAATCTTTACCAAATCTTTGCCTCGGGTTCCTCTACAGACTCTCTCCTCGGGTGGTGTATTCGGAAATCACCTCGAGCTGTTTTGGTGAAGCTGGCTCAGGCTGCGTGATAAGGTCAGCTTGGGCTGCTCAGCTCGGGCTGCTCAGCTCGGGATGCTCGGCAAGGTCACTCGGGCTGTACGGTGCAATGGCCCAGAAGAAGAAGAAACGAGCCAAGAAAGTGAAGAAACCCGACCCTCCGGGTTCTACTCTGTTCACCGAGGACTCGCTTCGGGATTTGAGAGCTCAGTTCGACTTTAGCGAGGGGGTCACTTTACGGCTACCGACCCCGAGCGAACGAGCCGATAGTCCTCCTGAGGGGTTTTTACTTTGTACGAGGGATTTTTTTACTTCTGCTTTCTCTGTTCCCGATCCCGAGGCCAATCGTAAAGTATCATGTGGTCGTATAAAATTGCCTTAGCTCAGATTTCGACTCGAGGCTTACGATACCTCATTGGGATTTTAGTGCGACGTATCGAGACGGATAACGATATTACTCTCGAACACTTGAGAAATCTCCTGGAGATCCGACGCATCTCGGGTCCTATGGAGAGTTATTAGTGGGTTCTCGAGCAAGGATGAGAAGTACACTAATCATTTCTTCTTCGTTGCCCTTGACGAGGACTGCGTTCCCGAGGGCTGCCTTGGGAAAGTCATTAGAAAATGGGGAAAAATTGGTATTTTATCCGAAGTTCGTGTTTGTCGGTTGTTATAACTTGGCCTTTTCGGCTGATCGCTTTCTTCGTTTTGTGAGCAGACCGAGCCCCGAACGTATTCCCGATGACTTCTTTAATACGCACGAAGAGCTAGCTGCCAGGAAGTGTCATTGGCTAAAGCACTTTACGCGCGAGAGAGTCGAGAGGGGTTTGAAGCTGCTTCACGGTGTACCATGTCCTTCTTCTTCAACTTCTTCGGATCAACGAGCGAATTTCTTCGTGGAGATGCAAGGAGCAAAGATGACGCTGAGGGAGAAGAAAGCTGCTGAAAAGAAAACAGTGGAAGATAAGAAGGCCCTCGAGGCGATTTTCAAGCCTCAAACTCCGCCCGAGGTGACTGACGAGGCTGAGGGGTGAGGAGTTAATCTTGCTGTTGTTGCAGCTCTTCCCGAGGAAACTGAGGTTGTCCCAACCAGGGACGTTGTCGATCGGGTTCCTGAGGTAAAGAATACTTCAGTAGTTGTTGGCTTGCCTGCCGGTGAGCAGGCAAAATTGAAAGGAAAACGTACCCGAGGTGAACATTTCGGGGATAAGAAGAAAAGGTCGAAGAGAAATTGCAGTGATTCTCGTCCGATCTTTAAAGATAAGGTGGCTTCTGCCAACCTTATCGCTTCCTGTGCGTGGCCGTTGCTCTCTGCCCTCGAGAACTTGGTCGATACGGAAAAGTACGGCGAAACTTCGGCTAACTTTTTGAAGGTAAATGGTCGTCAAGTATTTTCATTCCAAGGTGACTTTGCCCTATTTTGTACTTAACATGCTTTTTACTATTCTGTTTCTTAGGCCTTCTCCTCGATGAACACCATGGTCCACTCATATGATTCCGCGGCTCGTAAGTGCGAGGCGGCTAAAGAACGATTCGAAATAGCCCGAATTGAGGCAGAATCAAAGGTAGCAGAGGCCACTATGGCGAGAGAGAGCACCGAAGCGTTAGTCGCCGCTGAACAGGATGCGAGGCGAAAAGCACCCAAGGAGAATCTTCTTTTTAGAATCATGAGAGATTAATCGAGAACAGTCAAAGCCATCTCCATCTGCAGCACCTGAACCAACAACAACTTATTTTCCCTTGTTAGCTCTCTGTCTTTTCATCCTTTCGGCAGCAGCAGACCGCTTCCTTTTCAGCAGTCGTGAGGATATAGACGGACATGTTGAGTCAGCAGCTGGTACCGATTCAGACGCATCAGAGATCTGCACCACTTGAGGATTCTGGTCGTCGAGTGGTTAAACCTGGTCTCGAGTCTGATTTCTGGACTCAGCTTGAACAGATGGCTAAGATCTATGCACAAGAGCAAAGGAAGATTCTCCTTCATCTGGAAGTTCAGCAATCATCGGAGGCTTTGGATAAGCGACCGGTTGTTCATCCTGTTTGGTGACTCAGATCTAGGAGATGTTGATTTAAGCTCAACATACGATACCATTGCTCTGTTCGGATTCTCTTCGCCTTTAGCCTTTAAAGACAGCGACTGATGCTCTTTTGAAGCTGCTCCCGACGAGTCTGATGACGGCATCACAGATCTGGGTTGTACGAGCCTTCGAAGTCCAGAGAGAATAGCAATAATCTTCAAGCAAGATCTCGGAATGGTTCTCTTTGAGCACAAGTCTTTGACTTATCGACTCCCTAGGCGAGTTTGATTTGACATGAGAAACCCAAACTCTTTTCCCTCCAACCTAGATATTTAGCGATGGGCTTACTCTTCGTGGACCTTCGAAACAAATAGGCTTAGGCTTGAAACACTTAACAAACTCATCAATGCACACTTGATAGCAAGTCATTGATTTGTACACCCCATTGATCAACATCACATATTAGCACAGTTCAGATTTTAAATCATTTAGCATGTATTCATTCACTCATGAACAGAGTTTAATGACCCAAAAAGGCATTGATACATTAAGTACATTAAGTTAGATTCAGAACATTTTCAGAACTCCACAAGAAGCTGCCACAACCTTATAGATCTTTGATAGATCCACTCTGGGTTTAGTGGCTAATCTTTCACACTGTCATGCCTTTAATTCCAGTAGTTCAGACCAACATGTAACAGGCCGTTGGAATTTTATCTGGAGATTGCTCAAGAATCAGAAGTGTGATGTTTTTATTTTCACACTTCCTCAGATTTAGAGACAACAAGTTTTTCCCGTTTTTTCTTCTCTTTTTTTTTTCTTTTTCAGATTCCTGTTACTCTATGAGTTTCATATCAGCATCATCACTTGACTTCTCAACTGTTGATATCAGTGTATTGTAACCTTGACAAGTATGTATCATTCGTATCACTTGGTATTTAGAGAATCATCAAGGCCTAGACACTGCTTAGTCAAATTTGCACAATAGGTTGCTCTCCTAATCTCTTTTACTTCCTGTTACACGGCAACGTTTTACAACCGACTACTGAAACCGGGTCTGACACCAATTGTAGAGGTATAGAGGATACACAACACGGTGATTTGGCTTGGAACGTGCCAAACAAACGCTTTTCTATTTATTCTTATTGTTAATAATTTTTTTACAAGGATTATATTATCTCGGTAGTTACTTGATCTATTGTACCCGAATAATCAAATCCAACTAAGAACAATTCTAAGCCTAATTCTCTCGTATGTTTCTTATCACTCACCCGTGAAGACAAAGAGAATTAGAAACACTCTTCTAAGCTTTTGCAAGGCTTCGAAGATAACACACTTATAAAAATATTCTAGAGTGCTTAGGCGGCTTAATGTCAACTCCTAGAATATTTATACTATTCTCCAGAACCCTAAATTGTAGGATCTCTGAGAATCAAGAGCGGCAACTTCCTTGATCTTCAAGCTTATCCCTTTCCTTATTTATTGAGAAGTATATTCACCAAATCTTCTCAACCGGCTTTCGTCTTTGATGACCACGCCAAGTCAGCAAGCCTCCTTAGTTTGTCACATCAACCGCCCCAGCTTCGCCACGCCACCTCACGCGTCCATGTCAGCAACTCAAACGTTTGATGTAGATTTGATGCAGCTTGTTGTTATCCAACAGCTCTCTGATATCTATCAGCTCGTTGTTGTCAGAATCTACATCTTCAACTATATCATATTGACATATTTTTATCGATGATAGGTTGTTCTAATACTTGTGATAGATTACTCTGGTTGATGATATTTTTTGTGGATGAATAATATACATATTGTTATGATGTAACTAAAATAGTGTTAGGTGTACAAGTATTTGAATATTGTTTGCTGCAAAACTGAATCGTGCTGGGTAGATGAACATGAGTTTTGTTAGATTTTTAATATGTATATTTTTGCTCACTAGGTTATAATTATCCCAAACCTATATGATTGTTGCTCATGATTTCCGATGCCGGTGGCTCTACTCATCTATTTTGTATGATTCTACAATATATATGATATATTATTTAATTGTATGCTTGATAATATCTAGCATGCATACATATATAATTAAATTATTTTTCTTCACTCTTATTTTCAGCGGGAGAGATATTTGTCTTACTTTTTCCCAACAACAGTTCAGAAAAGTCATATATATCATTAATTGATTTTGTAAGAACATCTAATCTACACCTTAATTCTTCACTCACTAAGTATCATCTTCTTCTTTTTCCTTCTCCAAATAGAGATAATATTTGTTAGCTTCCTTGCAAGTCTTCTCTATTTTATTGATGACGGTCTCGTTGGTAGCTTCGAAAACATCAAAGCAGGTTGGGTTCGATAACGAGAGAGAGTGAGACTAATGGTGGGGAAAGGATCTTTACTTACATTCCAAAGTCTATGCTTTGTTTTTATACCTTCTTCTCGAAGTCTTTATTTTTCAGACTAATATAAGATTAGCATGCTAGACTCATACATGTTGTTGTAGGTATGTTATTTTCTTGTTTCTTGTGGAAGCTCTGTTTTACATATTTTTGTTGCGATTGAAACTTTTCAGAGTTTTCTTATTAATTTGATCACATTTTAGCCAATGAAATATAATGACATAGCCAGCTTTTTTAGTTGATTCTTAAGCTGCTGTTGATTTCAAATTGCTCTCATGTATAAGTTTTAAGCTGCTCATGAAATTGCTTTTATGTTTGATTTCAGGCAAATAGCTTGGAGAGGCTCCCATTTGAATTTTGAAGAGTGGTACAAGTACATTTGTATATAGGTCATGTCTTTTAAGTATTAATTATTTTGAGGTTGTTTATTTTCTAAAATATTTATGTATATGTAAAATTTTCTAAGATATTTATGTACATGTATAACTACTTGTTTAATTAATTGAAGATTTTTTTTTTTGGTGTGTCAATTAATTGAAGATTTGATATTGGTCAACTGTTTCTTTAAAGTTTATATTTAATTATAATATTTATTTTTATTAAACAAAATGATTAGAAATAACAAAATAAATAATAAACGGACAATGAACATAGCGTCAGTTATATAATCAACGTTAATAATTTTTCAACAACTGACGTTGGTTCTGAAACAAAATGAAACTAACGCTAACGTAGAAAAAGTTTAAGTCGGCGTTATGTCGCTTCAAAAACCGACATGAATATAATAAAGACACTATATTGATGCTATACCTATAAAAAACCGACGTTAGATGCCGTGTTTTTCTGTAGTGCGAAATACAAGATAATTAAAATATTTTATCTTTTAATGCATACTAATATTTAAAAGAATATGAAGTTTTGTGAGAAAATTAATATTAAGAAAAATAAATAAAATGAGTGTCAATTAATGTCCTTAAAAAGGAAAAGTAAAGAGTAAAAATAAATAAGTTTTAAATTAAAAATAAGTTGATGAGATAAAACTAAAAAGGAAGAAAAAGAATAAAATAAAAACTACATATCCCTGTAAAAATTAATAATTAATAAAATAATAACTAGAGAGACTCACAAAAATGCCCCTTTTCAATACCCCTTTTCAAAAATGCCCTCTTTGGCTGTCCATTTTTAAAAATACCCCTTTTTATGTACAAAATGACTAAATTACCCTTCTTTTAATAAAAGATATCGCAAATATATAAGGAAATATAACAAAATTAGGTCCACAAAATACCAAATATTTTTTGGGGGGAAAAGTGATCCCGCAATTTTTCCCGCCAAAACACTTGTAAAAACCTTTAAAATACCTTGTAAAATTTTCCAGTAAATTTTTTTCCCGCCAAAAAATTTTCCCGCCAAAAATTTTTTTTTGCGGGAAAAGTGATTCCGCAATTTTTTTGGCGGGAAAATTTTTGGCGGGAAAAATTTACAACGTATTTTAAAGGTTTTTTACAGGGTATTTATAAGGTTTTACAATGTATTTTAAAAGGTTTTACAACGTATTTATAAGGTATTTATAAGATATTATAAGATTTTACAAGCTATTTTATAAGGTTTTACAAGTTATAAGGTTTTACAAGTTTTTTATAAGGTTTTACAAGTTATAAATACCTTATAAAACCTTATAAGTACCTTGTAAAACCTTTTAAAATACATTGTAAAACCTTACAAAACACTTGTAAATACTCTGTAAAACCTTTAAAATACCTTGTAAATTTTTCCCGCCAAAAAGTTTCCCGCCAAAAAAATTGCGGAATCACTTTTCCCGCAAAAAAAAATTTTTTGGCGGGAAAAATTTTTACGGAAAAATTTTACAAGGTATTTTAAAGGTTTTTACAAGTGTTTTGGCGGGAAAATGCGGGATCACTTTTCTCGCCAAAAAATATTTTGTATTTTGTGGACCTAATTTTGTTTCAAATAAGGGTAAAATGGTCATTAAAAATTAAAAGAGGGCAAACTTAAAAGTGCATTTTTAACAATTTCTCTAATAACTATGGCAAATGTTGTTATAATTATTAAAACATTAATTTTTAATTTCAACAAATTCAAAATTTGTACTCTCATATCTTTTCTGTATGCCTTACATTATATTTATATATAAATAAATAAATAAAAAACATAAAGAACATAGCAAAACTAGAAAAGCTTAAGCATAAATACAATAAAATTAAAAGAATTTTATATTTCTATCCATACTAATGTACAATGCTATCTAGTTGATGCAAAAATAAGTATAATAATATGTAGTTTTTTTAAAGAAATACCTAAGAAAGGAAATACAATGAGGATATAATAAATTTCATTAAAAAGGAAAAGTATAAAGTAAAAAGTTATTATCTGCATATTAAAAAGAAGTGAATATGATCAAATTAAATATTATAAGAAAGAATAAATATTATAAAAAAAACTACATATATCTCATATGTAAAAATCAATGCTTGTGAGTCAACCACATTATATTAGATCATTTAAGTTTAATGGAAAAAAATCTTATATATATATATATATATAAAAATTTGGTTATTAATGCTATCTAGTTGATGTAAAAAAAAGTATAATAATATGTAGTTTTGTTAAAGAAATTCCTAAGAAAGGGAAATACAATGAGGATATAATAAATTTCATTAAAAAGGAAAAGTGAAGAGGTAAAAAGTTATTATCTGCAAATTAAAAAGAAGTGGATATGATCAAATTAAATATTATGAAAATAATAAATATTAGAAAAAAACTATATATTATATATATATATATATATATATCTCATATGTATAAATCAATATTGGTGAGTCAACCACATTATAATAATAGATCATTTAAATTTTATGGAAAAAAGATCTTATATAAAAGATTTAATTATTATTACCAATACTTCACTCATAAGTCATCCCTACACTATATATATATATATATATATATATATGTCTGTGTGTTTAATCGTATACACTCAGTTACCACCATTACCCATCACCTCTCTAGCAAGTGCACACATATTCTTCATTTACCTTATCTCTGAAATAAGAAATGGCTTCTAATGAACTAAAAAGTGAGAATGTTTTAGCGACGCTTAATCAAACAAGAAAAAACATAGAGGAATTCGCAGAAGGTATTAAGAAAGATAGAGATGATAATTTGGCGATGCTTGCTGGAATAGACATAAAGATAGACGAAATAGAGAAGAATTTCAAGGAAGCTAACAAATATTATCTTTATTTGGAGAAGGAAAGAGAAGCAGATGATACTTTAGTGAGTGAAGAATTAAGGTGTAGATTAGATGTTCTTATAAAATCAATTAATGATATATATGACTTTTCTGAACTGTTGTTGGAAAAAAGTAAGACAACTATCTCTCTTGCTGAAAATAAGAGTGAAGAAAAATAATTTAATCATATATGTATGCATGCTAGATATTATGAATCATCATAATAACAATTACAATAACGATGATTATATATGTATGCATGCTAGATATTATTAAGTGTTACAATCAAGCATACAATTAAATATCTTTTTATATAAAATAAACAATTATATTTTTCTAATCTATCCAAATATACTTTATTTATTTAAATCGATTTATCAAGGTTTTTAATTTTTAAATTAAAAAAAAAATTGTTGATATTATGTTAACCATGATCAGAAAACAAATGATCAGAAGCAACAAGAACAATCAACACCTTTATATGATTTTTATTGGTTTAAATAAGAAAAGTTTTCCAGTAGAAAAGTTTAGAAAACACTTTAAGAGATTAATTGGTACTATCAAGTTCCAGTAGAATAAAGAAAAACACCTAAACACAAAGACCAAGAGATAGCAACAATATCCCAAATCAAAGTAAAACTATTAAAATAAAACTGTAAGACATGATGTCTACGACATCTAAGACTAAACCGACTAATCGTTGTAGCGAGGATTAGGTCTCCCTAGCCCATCGTATATATTGTAGAATCATACAAAATAGATGAGTAGAGCCACCGGCGTCGGAAATTATGAGCAACAATCATGTGGGTTTGGGACAATTATAGCCTAGTATATATATTTGAAATATAACCAAACTCATGTTCATGTACCAGCATCACGATTCAGTTTTGCAGCAAGAAATATTCAGGTACTTGTATACCTAACACTATTTTAGTTACATCAGAACAATATGTACATCATCCATCCAAAAAAAATATCATCAACAAGAGTAATCTATCACAAGTATTAAAACAACCTATCATCCATAAAAATCTGTCAATATGATATAGTTTTTAGGTGTTAAGAAATATTCTACTAGCACTGCAATTTTGTATACCTTTGTTTCTGGGTTTAACACGACAATCCAAAAATGTGCGGTTTTGACTAAAAAGGATCCTCATTAAACTTGTTTTCACAAACTAAGCTAAGCTCTAAAAGGCAAACTCTAAACCAATTGAACTCTAATAAATGACATTGTCATGTCTACAAATAAACATTAACAAAGAAAGATTCAATTCACAAAAAAATAACCCTTTTTAGAGAAGAACATGAGAATGGGAGATGTCTACAAATAAGATTGAATTCTCATGAAAAAAATATCATCAACAAGAGTAATCATTAACCTGGTGAAACTGCTCGTCTGATACTCAGGCCTACCCACAAAAATATTGTTCACAACATGTACCTCAGCGAATTGATTTCTGGTGAAATTGTTCAGAAAAGCCAGCTTTGTCTTCTACCAAGTTGTCAAAGATCCTGGCATCAATTTCCTAAACCAATAAATCGCTTCCCCAGCAAGATAGTATGGGAAAAGCATGTTGAACAAATTGTCAGCAGAGACACCTTCTACCTTAATGCTTGAGACCAAGACTTCAAATATCTCGATATGATCCAGTGGTAGCTCATTGGAAAGACCGCGAAATCGGATCTTACCCACCAGGTCATAATGTTATAGTTTCAGCTCAAAGTCATCCCTTTTGAATACAGGCGATCTGATCGTAGACAGATTGGAATAGAAGAGATCATGTCTGTTATATTCACCAATCGGCATTGGCATGTTGCCCGTGTGGTGTCGGTCGACACTCTTGTCGAAATCGTACATCTGTTCGTAGTGTTCGAGTTCCTCAAGCCCCTGAAACACAAGAAACAAAAGAAAAGAAAAAACGAGAGTAACAAAATAAAAAAAAAAGAAGTTTAGACTTAAATCTACACCTAGTCTACTGGTAAATCGAAGAAAACTTCGGCAACGACACCAAATTTGATATGGGTCAAATTGCCTAAAGACCATTCTCTCAAATAAGAGATCGTGTGTGGCACTTTACGGTCGAACTCCACAAAACTCAGGTTTTGAATTAAGCTAAACAGAAAATTAAGTAAACTAAAAGACAAGAAAGCAATTAAAATTGAGTTATAAAACAGATGGATGAAACGTTAGGCTCAAGAATTTCTCAAGAAATATTAGAATGGTAGATCTAGCAATTAGTTAGGAATTATTAATGAACTGTTCAAGAACTTAAATCACAAAACTATAATCAAATAGCAACTCTCGTCTGTATTGACTATCTATACCTAATAGCAGTAATAATAAAAAGAAATCAGAAAGGAGGAGAGAGAATGCAAACTTAAACAAAGGTTTTTTTTTTTTTTTGATTATTGTATAGTACATATGAGGACTACATGTCGTTTTATCATATGTAGAAGAGAATGTCCAGTCTATCTCCTAGCTCTGATTGTGTACATTCCAGCTTCATGCAAAGACTTTTAAAATCATCTCATGCAATCTCAAGCATAGTACGTTGGACTTCATTATCACCACCTACACCATCATCAAATCTTGCACCACCAATGACCTCAACTTCGTCAAAGAACACAATACAAGCTTTCTTGAACAATGACATTTGAAAAGAGAGTATTTTACATTCAGAACAAAATATAGCAGCATTGGCTTGACAAAATCAAATAGCAAAAATGAGTGTTTACCATCAATTACATTTTTTTTTTTTTTTTGATAAACCCTATCGGCTGATCCGGTCAGCCCCGGTAGAAACGCACCGAAGTGCTTCAGAGTGGACTTCTCCCCGAAGGGCCACCACACTGTCTATCCCGAGTTTGGAATGCTTTCCGACTAATGCCAGGGGGTAGCCAGATCGCCTGTTACTGGACTACCAGGTAAACTGCTTGGGCCTTTGGCCCAAACCCAGACTTCCCACACAAATGTGTTTTTTGTTTCCAGCGTTGATCGAACCTGGGTTAGTTCCTTCAAACCTTTCCCCAATTCTCAACACCACTGGACCACAGCTGTGTGGGCACCATCAATTACATGAACAATTAACTCCTTCACCAACATACTTGTGAACAAGCTCACTGCCAATAACCATGATAAAGCTAGCATCAGTTGTATTGGCCATAAAACAACATATTTACATCACACCACTTAGTTTAACTTTAGCAAAAAATCTGTTTCGAACACCGGTTTATAGACACTAAACCCTAATAACCATGGGAACCCAAACCAAATACGATAAGAACACAGTGCCTATAACAGTAGAACCACCACATAAACATGGGACTACAAGAAGGAATACTAAACCCTTCCAACCGAGGGGAACACAAACCAAGTGTCATAAAAACAGAGCATCACTAAGAAATAGCTGATACTAAGTGCACGCAATATTTTTAAGCCAATTCAGTTCCGATTGTAATTGAAAGCAAAAATGGTAAACCTGTTGACGAGCGATGTAATCGGCCTTGATTGAAGAAATATTCTGCAAAGTTTCATGCATGGGTAAGATCGAAGTCAATATATGTCCAGATTACCATATATAATTAAATTGCTTAAATATGTTTTATAAAGAGAATTATAGCTGAATTTGGTTGAAATGGAAATTTAAAACAAACGAAAAAGACTCAAAAAATAATGGCCAGCAAATCAACAATTACAAAGAAAAATTAGACAAGCTTAAGCATAAATACAAGATAATATAAAGCATTTTTATATTTTATTTATGCATACTATTATTTAAAATAATATATAGTTTATGAGGAAATTAATACCTAGAAAGAAAGAAATAAAATGAGGATAAATTAATGTCCTTGGAAAGGAAAAGTAAAGAGTTAACAGAAATTTGTAAGTTGTAAATTTAAAATAAATTGATATGATAAAACTAAACTATGAGAAAAAAAGAACTTAAATGAAAAATAAAGATAACTTATATGCAAAAATTCAATGCTCTTGACTCAACCACACTATATTTGGTAATTTAAATTTAATAGAGAAAGATCTTTTCTCAAAACTTTATATATTATCTTACCAATACTTCATTCATAAGTCATCCCACACTATATATAGATGCTTGTTCTTCAGCATTCAATTACCCATCACCTCCCTATCAAACACCCATATTCTTCCTTTACCCTATCTCTCAAATAAAAAATGGCTTCTTGTGATCCAAAAGGAGATGTTGTCTTGACGATGTTTGCTCGAACAAAAAAAAATTTAGAGGAATTCGGGGAGATTTTTAAGAAAGTTGACCACATAAATAAAGGAACAGAATTTGATGTTGGTTTTGCTCAAAGAATAGAGAAAATCGATAAGAATGTTAAGGAAGCTAGCCAATATTATTCTTATTTGGAGAAAGAAAAAGCAGCAGATGATACCTTTGTGAGTGATGAAGTAATGGAAATGGTTAAGGATCTTGATAGCGTGAGTATTGGTCTGAACAACCTCTTAAAACAAGAGTGGAACTCATCTCCATCCATGATGATTTGATAACTCCAAACCAGAGAATAAAAATTAATTGTCATTGATTTGAAGACTAATCCCTACATGATGAATCATCATTGTAATAACAAGAACAACAACAATAACGATGATGATGATTTATGTATACATGCACGAAATTGATATTTTTCTATATAATAATATTATTTTAATGTATCTAAATATGTTACATGCATATTGATTAAGTTAATAAGTTTTTTAATTTTTATTCAAAACAAAAATAATTCATATTGCATTAATTATTACAAGAAAAAAAGCGATGTGACGGCCAAATAAGTATGATACATATTGCATATGGCTTACTACAACAGATTTGTGAAACAAAAATAAACGTTGTAAATAGCTCAAGGCAAATGAAAATTGTCAGTGTATTCTGTTGCGAGAACAGCCATGCTTCGTTGTTCTGTTGCAATTCTTTTGTAAGTATTACAACGTTGTTCTATTTGCAGTCGCCTTTCATCTCTAGCAACAAATTCGGGAAGAACAATCAAAATCGTCATCGCTTTATCTAATCCCTTTAGCTTCACGGCTTTGGTTGAATAGATGGACCGAATTCTAGTTATAATTTATACTTCCATGTTTTAATTTTTTTTGCTATGGGACCATTTGTATAGGTTTATAATCATCGATTGTAAACCTAATCCGTTTTTATTTTTAATAAAATATTTACATTCTTAGCAAAAAAGAAAAAAAAAAAAGTATTACAACGTTCATGTTTGTAAAGAAAAATTGTGTTGCAAAAGAATAGTCACAGTACCATCACAAAGTTTGTAACACTAGTGCAACGTCATATCGTTTTTGTTATCACAAATCCGTCAAAAATATTTTCAACTATAATGTTAATCATAAAGTCATGTGTAGATTTTTTATCATCGTAGTCATGTGTACATTTTTCGGAAAGCATTCCAAACTCGGGACAGACATGTGGTGGCCTTTTGGGGAGAAGTCCACTCTGAAGCACTTCGATGCGTTTCTACCGGGGCTGACCGGATCAGCCGATAAGGTTTATCAAAAAAAAAAAAAAAAACAAGAAAGTGTACATTTTTCGTTAATATTATGTTAATCAATTTAGTAGTCATGATTATGTTTATTACACTATCACCTCATGTTTAGTACCCTTTCGAAAACGGAGGTCCTCTATTATGGTCTTGATGGCTCTGTTATTAAATGCTTCAACTGTGTCCATAATGAATGATGCCTGAAGATTTTGAGAGCTCTTTAGAAAACAATATGAAAGCTTGTCGAGAATAATGGAGAATTTTTCCACTTTTTCATTATCTGTTTTCTCTACCATGCTCTGTATTTAAAGCAATGGCTTCTAGTGAAATACTAAAGCAAAAATCTCAACATAAGATAAGTGAAAAAGATATGAATGGATATTTTTTACCATTCAATACTCTTGTGATATTGCCTTTCACTTGAGTCTTATGTTCCTTTGAAGTATACTCTATTGTCTTTGCCTTCTTTGCCTTCTTCTCGTCCTTTAGTTTTATTGATTGTTTTCTTAATACCTTCGCAAAAATATCAAATTCATTTTGAATCAGTCAAAGTTTAGGTTTATATAGATTGATTTAGTGAATGTTTTCGGAAAAAAAAATCTACCGTAGCCCATCTTCTCTAGTTGCATTACAAACTTCGGACTTCTCTACTCGTTTTTTTTTTTAACTTCTAAAGTAGCGCAAACGATTGACCGTGAGTAGAGTTTCTTGGTTGCATGTCACATCCTCTTCGCACATTCTTACAGAAGTGACAAAATAACAATATTTAAATCTCAGAATTACAAAAAAAAAATATTATAATTTATCAATAATTTGAAACTTGAAATATGATGATTAGTGAGAAGTGTGTCTTATATTATTTATAGGAAATTTGTTTTTTTGGACAAATATAAATTAATAATAAAACTACTTTATAAAGCATAAATTAATAATAAAAGCATTATTACATTTTATAACTATTCAACTTTCGCAATTATGTTTAAATATCATTTATGAGTAAAGCTAAGAGTTATGTTACACATTAAAGCGAACGAGTCAAATGTTTATACAGTATTAGGTGTTTAGAATGATTCTCACTAGACTCCTTTTATGAATACCTTTGTTTCTGGATCTAGCACTACAATCCAAACATGTCCGGTTTTGCTTCATTTTGGCTAGAACATGTTAAACCAGTCACATAATTGTTAGGATCCTCATTAAACTCGTTTCCACAAACTCAGAACAACCGCAACCGCAAACGCGCACACAAACTTTAAACCAATCGAGCCACATAAATGACATCGTATTTGATGGCTTATCAGGAAAGATTCAATTCACAAAAATAACCTCTTTTGGAGAATGAGAAATGTCTCTCAGCGAACACAAGAAATCCTTGAGAAATGGCAATCTTAACAAATAAGATTGGATTCATAAAATGACAAGAGATCAAAATCTTTTAAGATTACAACCATAAAAACACCCTTGTCCCATTCAACATAAAAAAAAAAAAAATCTCTAAATATGATAATAATGTCAAATGGATAAAAACCAAGCATAGACTGGAATGCAAGTAAAGATCTTTTCATCACTATTAGTCTCTCATTATCGAACCCAACCTGCTTCGATGTTTTCGAAGCTACCAACGAGACCGTCATCAATGAAATCTCCTCCCCCTCGTTTCACCTTAACTTCTGTGGGCTTCACGGGATAGTCACCTGTGAAGCACGCATAGCAGAAGCTCTTAGAGTCTTTCCCTAAGTGTTTCTTCAAGGTATCGAAAGATAGAAACGCAAGAGAGTCGCTCCCGATGAACTCGTTAATCTCCTCAACTCTCAATCTGTTGGATATTAACTCCTCTGAGCTAGGTGTGTCCACTCCATAGTAACAAGAAGCTACAATAGGTGGACTAGCAATCCTCATATGAACCTCTTTCGCACCCGCTTCTCTCAATAAACGCACAATCTTAGACGAAGTTGTGCCTCTAACAATCGAATCATCCACCACAACAACTCTCTTCCCTTCTAAAACCCCACGAACAGGAGACAGCTTAAGCTTCACACCAAAGTCTCTGATCTTCTGCGACGGCTCAATGAAAGTCCTCCCTACATAATGAGACCTAATCAACCCCTGTTGAAACGGCACACCGGATTTCGCAGCATAACCAAGAGCAGCCACAACACCAGAGTCAGGCACAGCGATGACAACATCGCACTCAACAGGGGACTCTGTAGCCAAAATCTCCCCAAAAACATGCCTAGATTCATACACAGACCGACCAAACACAATCGAGTTAGGCAACGAGAAATAAATATGTTCGAAAATGCATTGCTTAGGCTCAAACTTCGGCATCAAACACTGAGACTTCACACCATCCTTATCCACAACCAAAACCTCACCAGGATAAACCTCTCTCTCATAAGTAGCTTCAATCAAATCAAGAGCACAAGTCTCCGAAGCGAAAACAACAGCTCCATTACTTCTCCTACCCATAACTAATGGTCTAAACCCATACGGATCACGAACAGCAACAAGCTTATCCTCAGTAACAAATACCATTGAATAAGCACCTTGAAGTTTCTCACAAGCATCAATAATCCTCATAAAAAAAGGTCTAGCTTTAGAAATGGCAATCAAATGAAGCACAACCTCAGTATCAGAGCTAGTATTGAAAATAGAACCGTTCTCTTCAAGCATAGCTCTCAAAGTTTTGTAATTTACTAAATTACCATTGTGGGCAACACCGATTGAACCGAATCGATAACCGGCGACGAAAGGCTGAACGTTCTTGAGCATAGAAGCTCCAGCAGTTGAGTAACGAACATGGCCAATAGCGAATTCACCAGGTAATTGATCAAGTTTGGATTCGTTGAAAACCTCAGAGACTAAACCAACACCTGTAATGGTTTGAAGAACTTTTTCATTGCTAACTGTTACAATACCTGCACCTTCTTGACCACGATGTTGAAGTGCGTGGAGAGCTAAGTAACAGAGCCGTGAAGCTTCTGGATCGCCGTAGATTCCGACGACACCGCACTCTTCTCGAGGCTTTTCGTCGTCGTCGTCGTTGTAATCAAAAGGGGTATGAGAATGGTCTTCGGTTGGTGAAGGAGAGGAGAAGTAGGAGGAGACTCCATGGATGAGTGAAGGAGAAGAAGGAAGGAGAGAGAGATGTGGAGGTTTAAGGAAGGGTTTGGGTAAGAGAGGCAGAGGTTTATTGGTGTAAGGATTGTTTGGTTTAGGGATTAAAGAGAAGGAAGAGGAGAAGCTTGTTGTGGCCGCCATGGAAGACAAAAAGGGTTCGTAGGTTTTTGTTGGTGTTTGGTCTGATTTTGGGACTAAACTGTTTTTGTGTCTGTGTGAAAGCGATAGAAGCCGAGCGGCGAAGGGTTTTGACTTTTTTGACTGTGTTTGCCTCCTGAGAATATTTTCTTTTGCTTTCAAGGGTTTTTTGGGGTTTTCAAATAAATTAAATTCGAAATAGATAAGACAAAAGCAATACATAAATATTCCGTAAATTTCTATAAACTAATAATGTCGAAACTTACCTAAGATTTTTTATTAATTAATTAATATAAATATTATTATTATGATTGTGTGCAGAAAACATGATGAACATTATTAAGTTCCTTTAACAAAAAAAAAACATGATCAACATTTTACTTGAAAAACTAATTTTAATAACTTTTGACTACAAATAAATTAATTAGTGTGTAAGTAATTTATCATATATGATTAAAATACAAATATTTTATCTTAGATAATCATTCTTAATTTGAGGAGTTCTGATAGTTCTTAGATGTTGAATTTGTTAACAATGCAGATAATAATAGGACTAGTAAATTGTTTTCAAATTGCTATGGAATAATTATTACTAATCCATGATATTTTGTGACGGATTCAAAATTCAAAATTAAATTCAAAATTTGCTTGAAAGACACTTGAAGTATGCTCAAAATATGATTAAAAAAACATATGATCTTGCTAGTTATTTGTGTTAATGTTATCAATGTGCAATTTTTCGGATCTAAACCCAACATAATGCCTGTT